GCAGGAAGTCAGAGCTGCCCCCGCCGTCTGCGACGGGGTGCTCCAGGGCATCGTCACCTTTGCCGACGGGTGCATCCTGAGAGCTGACGTGGGCATCTACACCAAAATCTACGACTACGTGCCCTGGATCCAAGACACAATCCTGCAAAACTGAGCTCCCTCGGGAGGAACTCTGGACCGCTGGACACACCCCGGCCCCGTGTCCGGCCTCGCAATTAAATCTAAATCCACTCCTTGCGCCGCACCCCACACACCTGTGTCACTTCTGCCCGGCAGAGAAGGTGACTTCTCCATACCTGTCCTGGGACTTTATGTGACAACCCTTCTTCTTCCCCTGTCAGTGAAGGTGGCAAACTCAATACCCCTTAGGCAGTTAAAGTCTATGAAGTGGGGGTGAAGTTCTCTCTCACAAATGGATCATTGACTTATTGGAAAAAAAGGCCACCCGATAACCATTTAGGGTGACAAAAACCCTACCACTTGCATTGACTTAAACATGTGCTACTTACACATGCCCACTGGAGAAAGGAAGCCTGGCAGGGAGCGAGCTCTGGAAGCATAGGGGAGGGGGCAGGGTTCAAGGGGGAGACCGTGGGAGGGAGGGCCCCTTGTTCCTCCTTGGCCATGCAGCCCGCGACACCAGGCACAGACTCCAGTCGTTCACTTTGCAGGACTCCCTGTAGGGACTTGACCCCATGAGAGGTTAACACAACAGTTCACCTGGGTTTATGATATAAGAAATCGTAGCAGTAAATTTTGTCTCCTCTAGGGTTCTAGAACCCCTAAATCAATGAAGCTAGCTTGTTGAAAAGCTATGTTTTGTATACGGATTTAGGGCAGTTATGAGAGCTTCACCGTAAGGTAAGTTATTAACTGAAATTTAGCTTCAGGGGGAAGAGATGGTTTTTGTAGGTGAGCACCTCAGGCTCCGGAGATGCTTCCAGCCTGAAATGGTGCTAAGATTTCAATATGTTGTACTGATGTCTTCTTTAAGTTCAGATGAGTCTAGGTGATGAAGCATGTGTTTAGGGCACTGAATTCCATGGGCCTCGGCTTGCTGTATGACCACTGTCATTGTAAGGTGACTTCCTTGGTTGAAAAATACATTACTCTTTTGTGTATGTGGAATACATAAGGCACTCAGTTAATTCAAGGATGGTGGGGTTTGGAGTGGTAACGGGAAGGGAGAGAAAACCCGAATCTAGAATATGTCATTTCCAGTGTGGACAAAGCTACCCCCTGCATAATTCAAGGGGCCCACCTCCCACCCCTTGGCTGGTGAATACCTGCGGTACCTAACAGATCAGGGCTGAGGCTGGTCCCTGACGCCGGCAAATGGGGTCTTCGGCAGTGGTGATAGCCAGGTGAGACTGGCAAGAAGTTCCAGCACATGTTCTTTTTGGTCCCATTGTTTTGTTTATTTAAAAGCCATTGAAAAAAACCAAACACTTGGAAGAATGAAAAAGAACTTTAGAGCTGGCCAGCTTGTCTATCTGATTATTAAAGTCTTCTTAAGTGAGAGCATTTTGGTGAGAATTCTCACCAGATACAATTATTCTCCTTCTCAAGCTGACCCTGAGAATCCATACTACATAATTCTTTCCCAAAGGGCATGCCCTCATTCTCTCCATCACGCTTCCTTCTGAGCACTAGCCACTCCCAAAAAATTCATATACATTTTGACCTCAAGAAAGAGAATAAGTAGATATATTGATTGAATTTCTGTCTCCTGAGAAAATTTCTTTTGTCTTTCCTTCAGGGCATCCCTCGGAGGGGTTTTAATATCACAGAAGTACAATACAGTTGGTACCAATATGTTAAACAGAACCACGCATAAACGGGGTGAAGTCTTTTCTCCCTCAGTGAACTATAAATGGAGAAACCTCTGAGGTCATAAGTGTGGAGTGAGAAAAGATGGGCCCAGAGCAGTTGCTTATGCAACTTATTTGGAGCTTCAGGGCCTAATTTACCTCTGTTCTAATTTATGCTTCTAGTGGAAGATGGAATACTGCAGAGCATCTCCAAGTTAATGACAGAGTCAGATAGCCGCACCTAGGGCAAGTTTCATGGCCAACTGGTGATGGGGAGTTAGGCATTTAGTCTCCACCAGACCATAGCAGCAAACTAGAGGCTATTTCCCAAAAAGGAGAAGGGAGCATAACTTTGCTACCACGTTTAAGGATTTCTGTTTTGATGTTCTTTCTTTTTTTAATTTTTTAATATGTTTTTTAATTGATTTCAGAGTGAAGGAGAGGGAGAGATAGAAACATCAATCAGCTGCCTCCTGCACGCCCCCTACTGGGATCAAGCCTGCAACTCAGGCATGTGCCCTGACCGGGAATAGAACCGGCGACCTCCTGGTACATGGGATGACACTCAACCAACTGAGCCATACTGGCCAGGCTGGTTTGATTTTCTTATTAGACTTTGCCATAAGCTTCATTTAGTATGCTTCTAGCACCATTGGATCTGCAGAGTTTAAACCCAAGAAACAGCCAATTGCACTTCAACCTGTGCTGGCCAGATAGACTTTTCTGACTTACTCTCATCATAAACTAGCAATTTTCTAGATCATTCATTAAATGGCTCAGAGCACGATATCCTAATAAGATATCTTATAAAATATCTTATAAGATATCTCTATAAAATTTAGAGGCCTTCAGGCATTGTTCTTAATAGCAGAGAGCACAAGGTACAACATGTTCGTTTCAGTGGCAGAACCGACACAAGTTTCACTGTAGAAGCAGGTGACAGTATTTTCACTGGTCACATCGCCTACTGACCAGCACATATCTGTCTTTCCAAGTCATCCAGGAAACCTGCTACTTCCTGTCACCTAGTCCTATCAACATAATACCATCAGTTTAACAGACCAGTATGGAGCCCTTTGAGGTCGTCAAGTTCAAGGCCAGAGCAATGGTGATTGCCTGAGCATGGAGGTAAAAACCTACGGCTGTCCCTGCCGAATGAAAGCTATTTAATCCTGAGTTTCTCAAAGACAATGTACAAAATACACTTGCTAGATGAGCAGTTGTATACAAGTGTGAATGGTTGCATTTGCTCTAGTAAGGAGGCTACATATGGAACAGTAACTATAATTGTTACTATCTAATTACACTATCACCAACCACTATCATTCCTCATTCCTCTTTTGGCTTGGCCATGCTGAAGAACTGAATGGGATTATAATAGAAATTGTCAGCCAGCATACTTCAAGTCTGTGTCACTAGTTCCGATCTTCTCAATGCGCTAATGTTTCAGATTTATAATGGGAAATCCCACCAATTTTCTCTTAGCCCTTCCTCCGGCAAAACCGCTCACTTCACAGGCCAGGCAGGGCCTGTAATAGTTGTAGAGTTTCTACCAGTTATAGAAAAAATTATACCCCTTCCCCCAGCCAAACACACACACAGCGTACACAGGAAATAGGGGGAAAATTCTAGGAAGACTTAGGTTAAAAATCTATTTATTCCCTAATTTCTATAAGCCCCACTCTGATCAAAGTATAGCATGGGTGAGTCTCCCCAAGACCACTACCACCACTACCACCACCACCAATTAGTACTAATTCCAATCCAGGATCTCTCAAAAAAATTAGCTATGTTCTTGTTCCTAAAGCACAAGTCACCAAGTTAAAACCCAGATCACTTTTGTATAGGCCAGAAGGAAGACTCTCAATGTCAGAACATGGTCCATTCTCTAGGGCACCCCGGCAGGCTCCCCTTTGTTCAAGGGGCAAAGAATCAGTTCATATAACAACAGGTTTGTTGACTCACATCAGTCCACTATTTTCAAATATGTCAGGTTATATAAATATGACGGAATCCACTACTCAATATTCTGAATGGTGGGATAAGTCTTTCTAATTTTAACATGTAGCATTGGGAATCTGGATGTTGCCACATATCTAAGTCATATTCTCTACCAGCTCTTTCAGTAACTTTGCTAGAAATTTCCCTCTCCACCTGCCATACTTCTTTATCTCTCTCAATTTATCTGTTCAGAATTTATGTGAGAAAATAGGTGTATCATTCATTAGCCTCCTCAAATCCTAACGACATTAGGTTAGGACTTGGAGAGCATGTTGTCCCATTGGGTAAGGGGATACCCCCTACCTAGAACCACCATTCTCAAGGCCAAAAAGCTAGGATCCTGAAACTTTATCAGTTTGTACTTAACAGGCCCCCATCAGGGCACTGTGGATGTTTACATAAGTTCAAGAGACTTGCGTGGATCCTGAAGCCCTAATAATTATTAACCCATTATGAACTGGCCTTTCCCCGGGCCCACCTGTATCTAAGCCCTTACGTTGACATTAGACCCACTGCTGCTCTCCTGCTCAGGGGCCCAGAAATGATGGTGTGCAGGCCATAAATACAGGCTGCGCTTCTGCTCTGGGCTCAAGAATCTGAATTATAATAAAGATGTTTGTCCACTTTTCTCTGCCTCTCAGAACTGCAAGTGAAAATCTGAGCTTATGCCTTCTGCTCTCCAAGGACCTTCAAAATGAAAGAATAAGAAAGGAAAGAAGAGGGGTAAAATTTGGAGGAAGTAAAGGGGAAGAAGCATGTCTTATATGTCTTGAAAGTCACACCATATCTAGCAAAGTGCTGAAAATTGAGTAGATAGTCTATAATCCAAACTCTGGGATAACTATGGAGCAGAATCGTATTTACACAATCAGATAATATATTACTTTTCCCTCCAAACAATTAGATTCAATTAGCATAATTCTGTCTGTTGCCATCTGGTCCTGTTGAATCCCAGGTATTTGAAAGTATTGAATGAGAAACTAAAGTTGAACATACTTTGTAATGACATGGGCGAATCACTCTTGTCAACCTGAAGACAGGAGCCTCCCTTCACACAGACAGATATTTCCTATCTGAGTATGATGGGATAACATTGTCCACTCATTCATAAAGCATTGTTTGTTAATTATTATATTGAATGCTAACTGTAATTGAAAAAACTAAAAATAAAATTTAAAAAGCAAAGCATTCTCAGATTGGATCGCAAAGCAAAATCCAACTATAAGCAATGAATTAAAAGATAGGTCGGTAACAACAACAGAAAGCAATGTTTGAACCCTAGCCTTTGTCAGTCTAGGGGGGCTAGTTTAAGTACCACAGAACCAAGGGCCTGGGCAATGGC